TGTTCCCGCAATGGACAATCTAAGGTTCGTCAAAATCGCTGAGACGATGGAGACGGACCAGTATGTGACGATGACGATTCTCCAGATGGAGAAAGAGTTTGGCGACTCAGAAGAAGCCCAAGAGTTTATCGCAGAAATCTGCAAGGGTGCCATGCCTGCTGTTATGTGCAGTCTACAATCTATGAATCGTGCCCTGCTAGTGTAATTATTTGACTCATCCGCCCAGGGCAGAAAGGAACGCCTCATCCACAAGCTCCAACTATTAAGAAGGCTCGCATGTACAAGGTACTCAAAGCCCTGTTGGACGAGAGGCGACGAGGCTCGAGGGGCGAAGCATCTGCTAGTGTTGGAGGCTCGATCCAGGACCCTGCTGCAAAAGCAGCTTTTGCCAAGACGCTGGCTAGCCAGACGGAGAAGCTTGAGGGAATGGAGCTGGTAGACAGATCGACCGGAAAGATCGTAATCCCCAAGCCCAACAAAAAACCTAAGCCGCAAACCGATGACGAAAAGATGGTTGCCAACTTCAAGGCACTCGTGACGAAGCTACTTGACTAAACATGCTAGTTCGCAGTTAGTCGAAGCCTCCAGCCTTGTCCCAATCCCGAAATCTGAGGTTCAAGGGCTTTGACCAAAGGATCACGGACAGCCTTCGTGAGCTGACTGCTGCAAAGTACAGTAAAGACTTGGCGGGCAACCTATACTAGTGCCACAGGAGAGATGTCAACTATAATTGCACTACGTAGTAGACTCGGGGGACTTCGGGGATTCAAGCTTTAAGGTCGATCACCTCAACGACACGCATAAGACCCTGGCCGGGAAGTGCAAGGAGCTGGAGAACTACTTCAAAAAACTGACCGTTCAGGAAATGCAGCCTGTTTATGAGGCTTACTCGGCCGAGGCAACAAGTATCGAAGATGATCTTAGAGAGGCGAACCGCAGAAAGCCCAAGAAAGCCAAGGCTGGCAAAGCCGGCACGGAGAATGCCTCCTCGTAAGTCGTTGGCTCGTCGTGTGGCTGGTACCTGAGAGCAATCTCAATACTAATTAGTAGGCAGTCATAGATCTTGGATCGTGCCCACGGTTCTGAATCTGACCTTGCTTGCAGGTATCAGTCGATCACACGTTTTGTGCTGCTGTGTCTGTGAACACATGGCCTACGCACCAGTTGTTAATTTATATGTGCAGTTGGGTCCAACCGAAAATGGGTTGCTTTGTAGGGGACACGACAATGCTCGATCCTGTTTTCGTGGAGATGACCTCTGCTGCTGACAGTAAGACTTGCGAAAAACCGCATGTGGGATATGCTTTCATGTTTGCACAACCGAGTGAATATATTGTGACTTGTGGCAGGCATAATTTATGCACGATCGTAGCTTTGGCTACAGTAGTTATAGACCAACACCCCGGCTGAAACCTTTGCCTAAAAGCCCAAGATTACACTAGCAAACCCTTGCACACAAACCCGCATTCAAGCACGCACAACTATACCTAACAATTCCTCCTTAAATCCCACATGCCCGCAAGGATGACAGGACCCTCTACGCCGCAATCCTTTCGATCGTAATCGACTAATCAAAGCATAAGCATCAAGTACTTCCCATGGGCCTAGCTTTGCAACCCGTGCCCGATGTCTAGCAAAAAGGCACACCTGGATGCACGCATCGTCCCATACCACCAGTGCCATAATTCACCTTGGAGTGCAGGATGGCTCTCGAGCTATCTACGGCATGGTGGAGGAGTTCTTGGAACTGTCACGACGATTGTCTGTGCAGACTATCAGGGACTTAGTGTCGGCAGTCCACAAACGAATCCCAAGTATGTTTCTTGAGCAGCTAAGTTGCACACTAGATGTCATGTCGTTTGTAATGAACCGATGCCTGGGATTTCGCATCAACTAAGGGAAGCCTTTCGAGATCTGGCAGAATGCACGAGGGGTGCGAATAATGTGCAACGGAACTTTCGATGCTGGCTTCGTCGACAGCAGTGGATGAAATGCTTGCCTCAACCGGTGAAGCTGCTAGATTGCACTAGGTTCGCTCGATGAGTCAAAGCTGGGTGTATATCGATCTTATTGTGTTCCGAGGATAGAAGTCAACCAAGCTCCTCCGTCTGACCGATGAATGCTCATGATCCCCATCCAATTTCCTGCATGAATACTCAGGTAGATAGGAAGCAATCGCAGCCCTTCTTCGTCGGCCCGCATGCGATCTTTCTGATACCGGACTGGCTTTCTGTATGCATTAGACGACTTGTTGTATCCTAGCTGCTCTAGCTTTCGTGACAAAGCTTCTCAATCCCAGGTTGAACTCCATCTACGAGTACGACCTCGAGATATTCCAGTCGATCTTCTTGGGTCACGATGCCGATAGCAACCTTCGGGAGTATTGGGCTCAGAATTCTAAGTCGGACTGGTTCAAAGAACATCCGATGCTGTCAAAACTGACGATAGCCGAGTTGATGTACGTAATACCTTTGGAAATCCACGGCGACGATGCCGAGCTGCACAAGAGAAGATCTTTCGGCATCAGCACCGTTAGCAGTGCACTTACAACCGGGTCAACTTGGGACCACAAGCTGTTGCTTAGCTGCTTCGACAACAGTGCTGCTGGTGAGTCAACATCGACCGAAATCGATTGTTGGATCTGCTGGGGTCTAGTGTGTGCTTCCGCCGGTAAATATCTTGATCATGATTGGCACGGTCGTAAGTTCGACGAAACTTATATGCCGCAATTGGCAAAAAAAGCTGGGCGACCTATTGCCGGTGACTTTCGCTTCGTATTCGCTGGTCACAGAGGAGACCAAGTTTATATTCACAAGTGCTACAAGTTTGAGAACTACTGGACTTCCGAGCAGATGTGTCGATCGTGTGCCGCTGCTCGGATGCTATCTATCCAAATCTATTCTCTGCAAGCCCCAAAGCACGAACCCTGCAATTCCGCACGAACTTAAGGCTGAGAAAGATGGGCTTTCATCGCTTGGATACACTCACTACGGCCCTGAGGCAGAACATCGGAAGACGCACCCCGGCTGTTACGTACGATCGACTAGACTCCTAGCATGAAAGCTATTTTTATTACACTCCATGGTTTCTGAGGCGGTACAGTACAGAAGAAGTCATCAGATCCAAGTGTGGGGCGACACCATGGGTTCGCATCCCGGGATTTTCTATCGACAGAATTTGGGAGGACTATCTCCACGTTGTTGATTTGGCATTAGCCCCTGACGCTTGTGCCTCCGAGCCTTGAATGAAAAAGCCGCCTAGCCCAAACTACAGCAATAAAATTTCGAGATGGTTTCTTGACTGTTCAAGGCTTTGTTGGAGCTGACTTCGAAGGGTGGCAGGAGTCCATGGCCTGGTACGAGCCAGGAAGCACGACTCGCAGCTGCTTATGTGGAATTTTCTGATGCTTGCAAGGCGGAACACATTCGTAGCTTAGCTCCAATATTTGGTTTATATAATCACTTAAGACGGGTAATTGGATGCCTGAGGCAATCGAGCACCAACCTTTTCCTTGAAGTCTTTGAAATCCGTGGCAAACAAGAACTCGCGGACCTACCCGACTCTATCCCAGAAGCATTTGAGTGGAGCTGCCTGGAGCTTACAATCCCTGTCAAAATAGCGATATAAGCCTGAGCACCTCAATATCCCTATACTTAGGAATCTATCGTGATGGTCAAGTGGCTCAGAGGTGTGACGATCAGAGTCGCAAACCATCATCCTGGATTGTATTGGCAGCAGCTTTGGTTCAATTCTGAAGCCTTAGCATCGACCAAAAGGTTTGCTTACTGTATCTGTGATCAGGAATATGGCAGCCATCTTTGTGAATCTGGCTGGGATGCGAGACTGTATCTCTGGGTGCAAGTTCTTCGTGCCCAAAGGACGAGCCCAGGCAATGCAACGACACTATGTCATGTACAGATCCAGCTACAATCGCCACTAGTATGCATTAAATGTCATGTGCTCAATAGCTTGTGCGAAGATGCATTTATTCAGCTGCTGAGACTGTGCGATGGATGCCTACCTCCGAAAGAAGATTTTGTGGAAGTTACGCCCCAAAATGCACACGTGCCTCGCCAGCAATAAATGTAAACCCTAAACCCTAAAATCTAAAACCCAATCCCCGCTCCTTGTGGAGCATGGTAGGCGACGAGCAAAAGAGCTCGAGCAATATGCCACGGCCAGTTCCAAGCTTTAGGGTTTAAGGGTTTAGGATTTAGGGTTAAAGCTTAAAAACCTTAATCCGCGATCTCAGGCTAGAACATCTGGTCTACGATCAAATCCAGGTCACATCGCCTATCCGCACTGCCAGCTATGCTGACGAAGACTTAGCCACTGGAATGCCATAGATTACTGATAAGTCCGAGTCGAGATTTTATGGTATGAGGATCATCACTCTTCTGGCATCATTGAGGTCGGACGAGTCAAGATGCTGGCTTGTCTGTGCCATCCATGTGGACTGGGCGAACAGGTGTTGTACAGGTATAGTGCATATCTAGGAGCTCGGTGGCAGCGAAAAGTGCTGGACGGAGATTGGTGACCGGATGCACAAAACGAAGCACTGTTCTCGAAAGCTCAGGGGCCCAGGGATTTAATAACTATATAGATGAAACTATTTTTACTGCTGCTTTATACGGGCATGAGGCAACCTATGGGTACACGACTAGACAGACAACAAGCCCGCAATACGTCGCTTATCTATCTATGGCCTCCGGGACATCTAAAGGATTGTCCTGGTA